AGGGAGGGTGAGGGAATCAGATTCCCCCTACGTAAAGGCAGAAAATGAGAAAATCGTAGAGCCACCCATTTTTCGTTTGGGAGAATAACCAGACCGGTTAGATATGGTTATGTAGCCCCACCTGATGGACACAATACTGTTGGGGTTGGGGTTAGGGGCTAGGGGCTAGGGGTTATGATTAAGGGTTACGGTAAGGGGTTAAGGTTCGGGGTTAGGGGCTAGGGATTAGAATTAGGGTTAGGGGTTAGCGTTCCCCAGCCTCACCTGTAAAAACCCTTGCTACCACCGGTCCAGTATTATAGGTGGCTGTGGTTTGTTTACTTCAGGTGGGGTTACATGACCCTATCTGACCACAATACCCCTAGTATAATCATTGTTATTATTATGACCGTGCCGAACGAAATCTACCAGGCGGTATCACAGACATGAGTCCGAAAACCTTCTGGTCAACACATGCTCAAGCAAGCAATCAAAAGACCAAACGACCAACTAAAGCAGGCCGCTAACTGAACACTAGCACATTGACGATATATCTAAACTACACCGACGGGATATACCCTGCACTTTTGAAAATAGGCACCAATTGTCTGGTTTCTTAACGAAACATACTTGTTTTTTTGCACAGAGGTCCCAATATGAGGCTCCGGCGAAGAGCAAACGCCAGTAAATGAACGTCCCAGGCCTATTTACTCTCAGTAGCCTGCGCCAGGAACTGTTTCTTGGCCTACGGCCACCTTTTAGGGCTTCAGCTTAAAGTTCCAGGGCAAAGGCAGGCGAAAGCTCCGTCTCGCAAACTTAACGGTTCAGCACCACCCCCAGAATAGCATTGCTGGCAAAGACAAGGGCAGATTGGAATGGTCATTTCTGGCTTATTAGCCGCCGTCAGCCAGTCATACTTAACCCCGAGGTGTGCAACACCTGAGACTGGATCCCGCGACCTGTTGGTTAGAAGTCCAACGTCTCTATCCACTGAGCCGCGGGATCCAACCCCAGGCGTTCCACACTTCGGGATTGGGTATGACTGGCTGACGACGGCTAATAAACCAGAAGTCCCCATTCCAGTCTCCGGTAATGCTGTTCTACCTATCTTACGCGCCGTTGTGCGGCTGCTATTTGGGCTCGAGAGAGGACTCTAAGGCAATACAGGAAGAGTGAATTCAGTAAAAATGATCGGTGAGCGCCACTCTACAACTGTATATATGTATTGAGATAGTACGACAAAGACAAGGGAGACCAGTATGGTCATTTCTGGCTTATTAGCCGTCATCAGTCAGTCATACCCAACCCCGAGTGTGGATCACTTGAGACTCGAGCCCGGGATCTTTGGTCATGGAGTTTGACACTCCACCACTGAGCCACGGGCCCGTAGTTCTGTCGGTTGTGATCGAGAATATCAGTTATGACGGGTGGGCGCTCACCGATCAGGTTACAGAACATGCTCGTTCTGTTGTGCCTTGGAGCTCATACTAGAACCCTCGCAGGCAGTCTCGCAGCGACTAGTAGTAGACGTAATGGGATAGTCCCGACAATGACAAGGGAACGAGCATGTTCCGTAACCTGAGCGGTGAGCGCCCATCTGTCATAACTGATATTCCCGACCACAACGGACAGGACAACCAGCCTGTGGCTTAATGATAGAGTATCAACCTCCATGACCAAAGATCCCAGGTTCGAATCTCATGTTATCCACACTTGGGGTTGGATATGACTGGCTGACGACAGCTAATAAGGCAGAAATAGTCATTCCAGTCTCCCTTGTCTTTGTCGGTACTACCTCATTACGTCTACTACTAGTCGCTGTGCGACTGTCAGCGAGAGTTCAGTATAAGCCACAAGGCACAACGGAAGGAGCATGTTCCGTAACCTGATCGTGAGCGCCCATCTGCCGTAATATATATGTATATATAGTATTCGGCCCGATGCAAATAAATGTGTCCATAAAAAGGCTTTCTTGCGCTTTGTCCTTCATTTGGAAATAGGTGCATGGGGCGTGATAACCATCGACTCCTGCGTCTCAGTGCATAGTTTGCTCTAAAATGTGAAGCTTCGATGTGGTCTTAGGAATGGACACCGGCGCGTTTCACTTTTGACATCGTGTGACAGCTCAACTGTCGCCAGCATGACGTGCATCATGTGCCCAACGGAGTGGGTCTGGAAGCGGCGACTTGTTCGCGAATCAGATTATGGTGAAGAGTACTTGCGCAGCATCTACAGCACTCTCTCATCTCTCACCAGCCAGCTTCCGATGGCAAGACAATGTCAAGACGACGAGAGGTGGGCTCGGGCGTGAAGCCTTACAAAGTCATATGGTCCATCTACACGCGCCACACACGGCCTGGTCCCCAGAGCACGTACCTATCTATCATGCGGGCGACTCAGAACTCACATAGTTGACAGTGCCTTGAAGCACACAGTCGGTCTCAATTTTCCTCCCCTCCCCCATGCACTGGTGGACTGCCCAAAGCACCTGGAGATGGGATTGGGCGCATTTGTTGACGCCGTGCGGAGACCAACATTTTGGTGTGTTACTACGCCCCTCCCACGTACGATAGTAGTTGTAGCCTTGTGTAGACTCTGCTCTGCCAGATTAACGCGTGCCGTAAACCAGCCGTGCGTCCGTCCTGGCCAATCGCATTTGAAACACAGACCGTTGTTGGGCCACCACCACCACCACCACCACCACCGCCACCACCACCACCACCACCACCACCGCCACCACCACCGACCGAGGCCTTTGATTCGAATCCAGACTTTTCAAGGGTCTTGATGACTTCCTCCGGTGTTCCCGAACACGCACGATTACGTGTGATCCCTCATTAAACTGCCAGATCGATGGCCTCCACCGGCAGCTCTAAACCTCGCCACGGACTTATTACAGTCCCACGCACTGGTGTTAGCACTTGTACCTTGTCGTGCTTTGGTATCTCCACTAGTTTTAAATCATATTCGGCGTTCCACGGCCGATCCCACTTTTATGAAACTATCGTATGGATTCCCAGTGACCTTTTTTGAGTCACACCAAGATGCTGCGAATGCCTCTGATTCTGGGCCACGTTGGCGTTATTGAATGGCACATTGTTCAGCCATCGCTATACTCCAATTATCAACACGCCAAACCATTCTTTTTCTTGAATGGAGGCAAAGTTCGAGACTGGTCGAGCACCGGAATAGTCCGGTTTTTGTTCTGAACTTTCGAACTCGTATAGGAGTCCGTCATCGGAGACAGTAGCAACAGCAGAACCAACGACAACACACATCTTTTAGGCTTCCACAGAAACCATCTGGTGGCTCACAAGCGAAGCTGTGTGAAGACGTTCTTCAAACGGATCCCGAAATATTGCAGCAAACCGGAGGAAAGAACACGTGAGGCCCGTTATCTCCGCGACAAGTTTATGCACAATGGCTATCCGAAGGCATTTATAAGTCGCTGCCTATGCAGCCGCACCAAGAGGATCAAAGCGACAACACTACCAAGGATACTGCATTCTGTGCAATACAGTAAGTACGTTTCAGAAGCGACCGAACACATTGTCGCGGGACTAGGTGTTGGAATTGTAGACCACCTCAAGGCCACCATGCGCAGCAGGGTCATGAAAATTAAAGATCGGTTAAGGCCTGGGGAGCAATCTGGAGCAGTATATCGTATCCAGTGCCAAAACTGTCCTTGTAACTACACAGGCCAGACTAAACGCAAGCTCGGATCGCACACACATAGTCTAGCTGTGCGACGAGGCGAAGAGCCATCACAAGTGATTGCCCCCACCTACGAAATAGGTCATGAGTTTAACCTCACAGCCACCAAGATAACCGTCCACGCCGGAAATCTATTGAGGCCTGAACCTTGAATGATAACTCAGTCAATCGATTTATCGATCTGACGCCGGCGTACAGAGCCCTGCACAGCCGCCTCCGGTCTTGCACCATTGACTGCTGATTGGCTAACACGTCCCGTAACTATCGCTTGTTCTGGTGTTGCTTCTATCGCTGACCGCGAACTCCTGAACAAGTTCGGAAGCTCAGAGCGATAAACAGACTGTTACGGTGCTCGACCAGTGTCCTTCTTCACTTGTTCTTCTTCCTCCTCCGCAGTTGCGGTCATCTCATGCTGGACATTTTCGTCTTCCTTCGCCTGCGGACCCCGCAGCAGGCCAGCCTCCGCTTCAACCTGGTGCATCCTCCTACCCCACTCCTCCCTCATAGCAACCAGCCGCGCCTTACGTCCGATTTCCACCTCCCATTCTACACCCGTAAATTCCTTTATCCTAGACGGAAGGGCACTGAGGCGTTTCAGAAGACAAGTGACGGCGGAGATCCGAATAGACTGATACTGCATTGTTTCAAGTGGGTTCTGTCTCCATGCAGCCAATAATAACCCTGACCATCATTTGGGACCAGAAGCACGGAGATATGCACGTACGCAGTGCCGATGTTCCACGTGCGAGGTCTATCAGATGATTCATGGGCACTTACTCGAATAAACACCCGTTCCGTAGCGACAGGGAATGCCAGGTGGCGAAGCATGAGTGAACTGCGGCTCGATTAAGTGTTTATGACCAATCTGATAGGCGCCCCCCCCCCGTCTGCGGACCATCTGCGCTGCGTGTGCATGTTTGTGCTTCTGGTCCTAGATGGTGGTGGTGGTGGTGGTGGTGGTGGTGGTGGTGGTGGTGGTGGTGGTGGTGGTGGTGGTGGTGGTGGTGGTGGTGGTGGTCAGGGCTGTGATTGGTTGATTGAAGGCAGAATGAGCCCGAGACAGTTCTGTATCAATCTAGCCGCACCACCACCTGCATGACCTTGTTCGGTCTCGCAGGTGGTTGTCCGTCCATGATCCCTGTTTTCCTCGGGAAGACAATGAGTCGGTGTGCACCCATTCCTGAACTGCTTTACTGCGCTATAAACGCTTGTTTTGGACGGACGGAAGTTTTGGAGCAGGGGAATTTTGATCACACCACAACTCCGCGGCCATTCCTTCCCAGCCATAAAGCTGGCGTCCATGACTCTGGACTATAGTTTTTACTAAAACGCATAGGCCACTGCACGTGGTTGGATTAATTTCCTTTGAGGCCTAATCATGATTAACACGACCTTACTCGCAACCTGCCTCGACGGCTAATCCGTCCACTTGTCCGATTAGCATATTTGAGACTTGAGCTTTACAGGGGAGTAAATTGGTACCTCCTACTACTACTCAAGCAGGCATTTTTAACGGAATGTGGTTTACATAGACGGCGAGAGTTCTATAAGTGCCAGGGTAGGAAGGAGCCATCGAAGCCTTACGTTCAGACCCGAGTGGAGCCAAGTTATATAGTCATTTGGCAACATCCCGACCCACAACTACTAGCTCCTTATAGTAGTTTCCACCGTATCGGACGAATTTTAGTGAGAAATTAGCTGAATCACCGTGAAATAGGACGACTGGTAAGATGTGGTTATGTAGCCGCACCTGACGGACACAATACTGTTGGGGTTGGGGTTAAGGGTTAGAGTTAGCGGCCATGGTCAGGGGATAGGGTTAGGATTGGGGGTTAGAGTTGTGAGCCAGGGTTAGAGTTTAGGGTTAGGGCAACTATTATTCAAACAGTCAAAATACAACTACGCAATCCAATAGCTTTTATTTTGCATACAGTTACTTGACCTCGTCGCATGTGCGTTCCGCGGCCCACCTGTTGAAACCCCTATTATCACCGGTCCCGTATTACAGGTGGCTGGGGTTTGTTTGCTTCAGGTGCGGCTACATAACCACATCTGATCCTTTGAAGGTTAATCATAATTAACACGGTCTCACTCCTCGCAGCCTGCCTCGACGTCCCATTCGTCCACTTGTCCGATTAGCATATTTGAGACTTGTGCTTCACAGGCGAGTTAATTAGTACGTCTCTGTCTCGGAAGCTAGAGCGCGTCTGTAATTAGACAGCTCTGGCAGTCCTTTGGAGAACTGGAAGTCTCTGGACAGGTACTCGTCAAATGGTATGTTATGGTGCAGGTCCCCAGTCACCGCAGCACTTTTGCCCTCTAAAATAAACAATCGTCATCTCCATAGACTCAGCCCGAGGACGCATTATCGCCCGAAGTAAAGTAGGTGGGCTAACTCATGAAATGTCAGCTGAAATTCCGAGATGCGTTTTCGCCTCGAAAAGATAAATTAAGTACGGTTGTAAAACTAATCCACCTGCAGTATACTTCTATAATAATTCAGTTACTTCCGGATGCGGGCTTTCGAACCAACTACCTTCCGGCTGCGTATATAAACTATACTCTGTAAGAAATGCCTACTTAAGTGGCATGCATTTTTATCATTGATTTTCGATGCCCCTAAAAGTCCATTACATTTCAGGGAAAACATGAATAAAAGTATTCCGTCTTCCGTTCATTCGGTAGAAAATTACGTCTTCTTCTAGTTTTATACTCGAAGGAGAGACGTAATTCGGTTTTCAAAAACTTTTCTGATTCCCGAATAATTTTGAACCCGTTCTGCTGTCAAACTTGTATTCAAGGTTTCCAAACTACAAGCCATGTATTTTCCGCGTACGGAAAGCCATACATTTCTCTACGGTATTCAGAGGAGACCGTATTGGGTTCCTACAATTTAGCACTGGAGTTGAACCATATTGTTAACTTTACAAGTCACATTGGTAAATGCAGAGACATGACGTTTTATGAACGGCCATTTCACGGTATTTTAAAGTCTCACAACTAGAAACTTTTTTAAAACCGAATTATGTCCCTCCTTCGAATATATAATTCAAAGATGTAATTTTCTACCGTAAGAGCAAAAGAATGAATATTTTTATGCATGTTTTCCATGAAATATAAGTGGACAATTAGGGACATCGAAAATCAAAGAGAAAAATTCATGCTACTTAAGTAGTCATTTTTTACAGGGTGTGGTTTTTGTATTCAACCGAAAGAAGTTCATTCGAAAGCCGGCATCCTGAGGCAACTGAATTATTATAGAATTATACTGCTGGCTGATTAGTTTTACAGCCCTACTTAATTAATCTTTTCGAAGCGAAAACGCACTTCGAGACTTCAGTTGACATTTCATGAGATAGCCCACCTACTGTATGCTAATGACAAATACACAGTAAGGTGGACTTTTCGTAATGCTCCCATTCATTAACTAGACCTTGTAAAGCCTTGGCGAGGTTTGGTCTTGCAGACCCAGTTGATTACTGCCATATGGTTAAATTCCTAATGCAATTACGCTGACTCTACATGCATCACGTGTTTGCGCCTTCCTTACTACTTTAATCCAGCGAGTGTCTGTGCCTCGGGGGGGGGGGGGCTGCATGTACGCCACCCTCGGTAATATCAGGTGCTTCGAGCCTTGCTTGCGCCCTCTTTATTATCTCGATCCAGCGGGTGGCTAAGTGGGCTTGCTAATGGAATTGTTCGGATGGATTTGAACTCCGTTTGTTTGACTACAATGACCATGCACTGCGAATCACCATGCGCTTCCCCCCATGGCCTTCCGGTTGTGATTGCACCCTACTTGTCCTACTAATCCAGCGAGTGTGAACACGTCACCTTCACTCCCTTCCCTGCGCGCGCTTCGAGCTCCGCTTGTGCTCTCTTTTCCTTCATAATTCAGCGGGCAACTGAATTAGGTGTGCTAACTAGAGTTGTTTTAGAAAGCTAGCCATGTAGTATCAATGAAGTGGGGCTGCAGAATCAAACCTCGCCGTACTGTGCTGATAGTATTGTAAATCGTTTGTTACTGTACTTCTTCTCCGATGCAAAGCGCAGTTATAATGCTAGTGAGCTGTAGTCTGCACTTCGGTCGAGAATTTGTAGGCTGTAGGTCTTCTATGCATGTCTTGATAGTCATTTGTTATTCCATTTTGTAGCATACCGTGGAGTAATGCTCAGAAGTAATCGAAGGTGCGAATTCTAGGAACTGGTTGATAAGATATAGAAGCGACCGCTGAGACAAGGGCTTTATTCGCCTGACGTCTCGGCCATCAAGAAATTACCGCACCAGCGGGATACAATTCTCGAGCCCTGCTTGCGCCCTCTTTATTGTCTCGATCCATCGAGTAGCTAAGTAGGCTTGCAAATAGCATTGCTCGGACGGATTGGATCTACGTCGGTTCCACCGCGCACTGCCAATTCGCCTGTGGTCCCTTCCGCGGCCTTCCAGTTGTGATTGCGCCCTCCTCATTCTTTAACCCAGAGAGTGACTGCGTCGCGGGGAGAGTGCGTACACGCCCCCTCCGGTTACCCTAAGCAGCAGTTCACATGCGTTTCCCTGCGCGTGTTTCGAGCTCTTCGTGCTCCCTATTTCCCTTACCAATCCAACAGGTGGTTAAATTAGGTATGTTAACTAAAAGGTAAGATGCGGTTTGGTGGTCACACCTGATGAACACAATACTGTTCGGGTTGGGGTTAAGGGTTAGGGTTAAATGTTAGGGTTTAGGATTAGGCGTCATAGTCAGGAGGTAGAGTTAGGGGTTAGCGCAGCTATTTCTTAACCATTCAGAGTACAACTGCGCATCGCCAATAGCTTTTCTTTTGCAAACAAGTACTTTACCTCGTCGCCCGTGCGTTCCCCAGCTCCACCTGTAAAAACCTCCATTACTATCGGTCCCGTATTAGAGGTGACTGAGGTTTGTTTACTTCACATCCGATCAACTAGAATTGTCTAAGAAAACCAACTAGATGGTATCGACCAAGTGGGGCTGCAGGACCGAATCTGGCCGAATAAAGGATCTTACCAGTTGAGTAAATTGATCCGGGCCTTCTGCATGATTTTCCAGGACCCACTGCAATTCACTGCGTCGAAGGCCTTTGACAAGTCGACGAAAGTGGTGAGGAGGTTGGTTTTCGTTTCCCGACACCTTTTCTACAGAGAGCGAACTGCAAAGCTCAAGTCTGGCGTTTCGCGATGTATTAGGAATCCGCACTGCGGTTCTGGAGGAAGTCGCCGCTCCAGATATCTATTCAGACGATTGTGCGGGACGCGGGTAAAGATCTGGCCTGCGGTGTTGGAATGAGATTATCGTAGACTTGTCGGTTCCCTTTGCGTTGCGGTGTAGAGTTGCTGGTTCCCCTTGCACGTTGATGACATCACCGAAATTTTGAGGGATGCAACCTAGTCGTAACATCTCCTGGAACAGGCAGGGAGGTTTTCGACGAGTTGTGTTCGGCCGTAATTGTAGGCTTTGGGGGAAATTGCGTCTGCTCGCGATGCTTTTCTATTGAACAGCTGCTGCACCGTTCTGATTATTTTAAGGAGATAAGGCCGACGGTCGAGGTGGGCGTCGGTGACCACTTGAGGTAGTCGGTTAGTGGATTCATCGCATAATGTCGAGGGGTGGTCGAGGTCACCCCGGAAGTGCGCGGTTCAACGCTCCAGGATCTGTGAGTGCTCCGTCAGGAGGTTTGCTCCATCCTGACTCAAGAATTGTGCAGTAGCCGTGTCTTGTGAACCGTAGACTATCTTGTTGTCTTGCTTCGAGCTCCGCTTGCTCTATTTTCCCCTTCCTAATCCACTGAGTGCCCAAGGAAGGTAATGATAACTAAAACTGTTTTATCGGGCTAACCATACAGTATTAATCAGGTGGGGCTGCAGAACCGAACCTCGTCGGATGTTCACGCTGAAGGCCACGCACATTTGTTGTTTGAACGATCTCAACCTGCTGAGGTATCAGATCACTCCCCCCCCTGCTGGAACCAACCAATCCTTCTAATAATCTTCAATGCCACAAGCTAATTTCAAGTGTGGGATCATGCTACTTATTTTTACCTGACCAGTTTTATTTTCTTTCGACCATAATGACCATGTAAAAATCT